TTCTCCCATTGAATTTTTCAGGCAAACCTTATCTCATGGCCTGACCTTTTCTTTGTTATTGTAAGGTAATGTAATTTTGTACCTTGTTTATTTGTTAGTTTCATAACATTTTGCTTGGTATAAACCTTAATTTTGCAGGCTTGGGCAAGACTCTGCAAGTGCCTTGAGCAGTATCTTCTCTCTTATTACTGTTGCCAGTCAGTCGTCTACTCAGCAGTGCGGTGTAACCATTACACCTCTTGATCCTGACGACAGTGATCATGAAAGGTTTGCCTCTGTTTTAGATTATTCAATGTTTCTCTTCCAAAGATGTATTCTTTTGAGTTATTAAAGTAGAATTTGTTTTTTGGCTTTTCATTGCGTCTATTGCAGCAATGAAACTACCAGTCTTGGTGATAAAAGAATAGGTATCAGAACTAGTGTAAAGCAATTGACTGATCATGTAATATCAGGTCTAGAGGAGGCATTGCATAAGGTCGTTCCTTTTATTTTGGTTTTCATTTTGTTTTTCAAGTATGTTACATTTTTGCTTTCAGTTCTTTTTCTGCTATCCATTTAGTTTTGTGAACAGTGTTTATGCTTTTGTTGAGGTTTTTTAAACTACAATTTTTGCATGCAGGAGCCAGAATTGGGAAGATGTGTAAACATGTTGAATGGGTACATACAGGTTTGTAACATTTATCTTTAGGTTAAATTATATATTGATAGGGGAGCTCATCAATTTAGTGAATGTATTCATCATTTCCTGTCATGTTTAAAGTAGTTTTGGAGGGTCTTTAGTCATTGGGCTTACAACTCACCTGTCACAACCAGAAGCAATAAATTAGGTTAGTATGACTGAAATGAAATTGGAATTCTGCTCTCATGACTAAAGAGAGGATGGTTTTTTGTCATGTCCTAGCATTGTTAAATGGTTTTGATTTCTCCTACCTCTGGATTCTTTCTGGAGATCTGTTACGTTGTTGAGAGTAGGAGTGGTCCAATATCCATCTGTCCTTGTAAAGTCATGAAATTTTAGTTCGACTAATGCTAAGAAGTTGAAAATTAAAATTTTAAGTCATTCAACAGGATTTAATTGGATGTGTTGAATAGCCTAGTCTTTGTGTTGTTGGGTTAATAAAGGATTTAATAAAGGAATTTGCTTTGTTCTGCTTCTTTCCTTTATATATACAATCAATTCTGTTATTGGGTTACTTGGAATAAAATGCCCCATGTGAGTTCTCTAATAGGCAATTAATTGAGTAATGTTGCCCCTATATGTTCATTGTTTAAGAAGTTAAGCCTTGTATAAGTATTTATTCAAAAAATTGATTCAATCAAGGCCTCTGACTACATATGGGCCAAAAATGCCTAATACTAAATGAAACAGTATGATGGTGTACTAAATTCTAAACCTTAAAAGCTTCTGTTAAGTTCAAAAAGTTACTTGCATCATGTGTCTCTGTGATTGAAAGCACTTAATGTTGCATTAATAAACTCATTTTCATTTTCAATTCAGACCTTGTTCATTTGATATTGCTTTTGAGGAATGACCAGTGTATAGCATGCAAGTAATGCTTCTTTGTCAATTTAAGTTGCCAAGGAGTCTTTGATACTTGTTTCATTGACTATTTTGTTATTTTGCGTTTGTAAAAAACTTGTTGAAAATGTGTCTCTTTATGGTTTATCATTAGAACTTTCTTAATATGCTTGTCTGACTAGAATGAGTCTATTTCATTCTCTCTTTCTTTTTTTGACATTTATGTTTCTCTACCTTGTGATTTTTTTTTAACTGAGTAGATTCTACCTTTCTAATTATTTGTGCTTCAATTCAAAAGATTTATTGTAAATTGTTAAGTTTTCTGAATATTTCGAAAGTTTCTTTGAACTATCATGTTTGTGATGATGATATTCATTTTTTCTCCGCTACGGATACTTTTGACATTAATTTTTTCCTTTTTGCAGTGATAAATTAGTGTTTTGCAATCATTTCTAATGAGTAATGATATACTTCTTTCATTTGCTCTTTACTCTTCCCTATACTTGGCCTTGCAGAAGTTATGTAAAATTTGTCTTGGTTAAGGATGTTATAATGGGGATATGAAGTGTGATGAAAAAAATAACTGAATTTGATGGTGATGAAGTGACAACTTTTGTACTTGTTGTTTGTACTATAGTGTTTTCATGGGGGTTGCTTTCTCATGCTATAAGCTTATAATGCTGACTTGCATTCATGATGGATGCACACTTTCTGAGTGATCCAGAGTCCATGTTCTTTCTCTCCTAGTTGTAATTAGTTTCAGTAAGTTTTGAGCTAGCGGGAAAGGGTTAAGTTTGTTTATGAAAATAGTGGGATGTTGTGGGAAGATAATCTCTTTTAGGAAACATTCTTCAAATGATGCTACTTGGTCTCACATCTTTATTTTCTGCTGGGCTGCAATTCCTAATGTCTTGTGGAGTTTGTGTCCTCAGCCACTTCTTAAACTGCAGACAACAAAAGGCATGAAGTCTGACAATGGAGTGGCTGAGGAGGTAAAGCTGGATTCTAATCAATCAATGCCTGAAAGGAAGTTGGAAGCTTCCAATTTGTTGACTGAAGAAAGGTTTAGAAGACGTTTATGCTCAGATTGAAGATGGGTTTCGGATTCAGAGTTGATTTGAGAGACAAAGATGGTGTTTGACATCCGTTACCCCAAGAAACAGATTAGCATCGTATGGGATGAGAACGTAAATGGTAAATATAAATGTCAGTTACAAGGCTGGAACCTCTTCAAATGTACTACTATAGTTGTTATTATGATAAGCGTGGTCCATATTAAACTTTTTCCAATTCCAAACAAAAACTCTAGGTCCTCCTAACTTAAGGTTATAAAAAAAAAAAAAAAAATCTCTCATTTTGTAATATAAAATATATTAAATTATAAAATAAAGTCATTGATTCACTAGAGAGGAGGGTTTTGTATCAATGTTCACTCTTATCTAATAATAAATATTTTGCAGTTTAGTATAATGTGAGCTACATAATACTTATTTTTTTAAAAATCAAAATATTTAAAAAAGTATGGAACTTAATTGAAATGCCCAAAAAAATGAAAATTATTATAGAATAAAAAAAGTAATAGTTTTCTTTAATAATTATTCTTTATTAAAAAAAGTAAAAGCTAACTCTTTTATTGAATTGAAAATTTTAATTGTAATTTAAAATATAAAAAAATTCGAAAAAGTGATTTTTAAAAATAATGATAATCTTGGGCATGGTAAGAAAATTATTCCTTAAAATTTCCTAAAATCTTTATTCACTTCAAATTAGTACATTGTGATTTCAAATTTGCCCTTCTCAGCCATTAATATTTCTAGTAAGTTATCTATTTAATAATTTTTTTTTAAAAAGGCGTTTTCAATTAAATTTTTAAATAATTAAGAGAAAAAATATTATAAAATTTGACTTTTATAAAAAAAATAAAAAAATACTAAAATAACTCTTTTCTTTTAAGTAAGAGATTTTGGCTTTTTTTTTTAGTACTTTTTAATGTTTTATTAGAATAAATAAACACTTTTGTCAAACATTAATATTACTTTAAAAATTTATATTAAAAAAATTTTAAAATCAAATTAAAACTATTAAATTTAAACAGAAAGAGGAATACTTTAGCCTTTAGGCTCCAACCCAACACAACACAAGGCAATGGGGTTAGAAGAGACTAGAGTAGTCTACGGTAGTACGGAAAATATATGAACACTTCTCAAAGGAGCCTAGTTGCTTCGGTCCCCAAGTCTTAAAGCCCAATTATACTAAAATCCTTCCTGACACACAGATAATCAATGAAGCCCAGCTGAATTTTAAACGGAGTCCCTAGCAACGGTCATATTTTCAGGCCTCAGTTACTTCAAAATCCTCTGACCCTCTCCTCCTCTTCCTCCGGTTCACTTCTTTAACTCTCTCTTTCTGCCTCAGTCAAGCCCCATTTTCTAAAGCAGCCCGCTTTTCTACATTTTGTTGAAAAATATAAAGCACTTACACGAACAGGGCCTTCGGGACTAATGATTAGTCCCTAAAACTTAATACTTAAGTTTACTTCATCAAAAATTTAACTCTCACCGTTTACTTAGGAAATTTCCTCTTTCTCCTATAATTTTTCAATATTTAAAATAAATAAATAAAGCACTTACACGTTATATGGAAGCTAATAATGAATTGTCTTTTTTTTTTTGATTTCCCGTCTGGTATCCGGGGCTTCGTCTCAACTAATCCGGATCGACCTGCGTCGCGCACCTGGAAATGGTGAATGAGTCTCTCAACGTAGACTGCTACGTTCACAAAGGCTCGAACTCAAGATCTTGTTTAAGTTGAAACAAGTCGCTTACCACTTGATCCAACCTTTCGTTGGTTAATAATGAATTGCCTTTTCACTTGCTTTTTCTACTCCCAAGCAAAAGCGGTGACAGTTTAAAAAAAGTTATATTCTATTAAAATTTTAACTTGTAAATAAGATTAAAAATTTATTTTTAGATTCTATCAATATTTTATTACAGTGCAATGTTTTTCTTTGTTTTTGTTAAATTAATATAATCCTACTTTAACACCTTCGTAGCATTGTCCACTTTCTAGTAAACTCTCCCGTACTAAACACTAAATAAATGAATAATAATAAAGTAAAAATAAAAAAATATTTATTTATTATAAAAAATAAAAATAAAGACAACAAGCCAACTGCAAAAGCATGCTATTCCAACCCGTACCATAATTCAACTCCCAACTGGCAATACAGACAGGATTTCTATTGAACTTCGTTATCATAACTCAAAATTTTCTCGAAAGAAAATATTGCATATTTTGTCCCCGCGAAGGTGGAGATAAAAGAGAAGGAATCGAATGCCAAGGATGAAGGCAAGGTGAGAAAAGCCGAGAGGGAGGAGATCTGGAATTTTAGGCCGGAAATTTTCTCTTGGTTTGACTGGGAAACTGAAACGGAAGAAGAACAAGAAGGAGCCCACGGGTAGAAAGGAAGCCTAAGCTTTAGGTAACGATTTCCCTCCCATATTTTTTTCTTGAATGTGAATGTTGCTAGAATTGGTTAATTTTTCAATTAGCATGCACTGTTAGTAGTAGATCCGTGATTTTTTTTTTTTTTTTGGTTACCTAAAATTGTGAATTAAGCCTCTGGATGACCAACTCAACCTTGAGTTTTCTCCATCTTGGCTGCAAATTGAATCTGTTATCATCGGTCTTTTTTTTTGGAATTTTCAAGCTTTTTTTAGGGAATTTTCTTTAGGTTGCCGGAATTTGCACTTCTCGCCGGAATTCTGCCGGGTCCCTGTGAAGCCGCCGGTTTTGCAGTCTTCCGGCGAAT